TTTTATTCTGCTTCCCACTGAGCCTGTGGCCTCCCTTTACCCTCTGATGGTCTCAGCATAAGGCATGGATTCTTACAATGGGAATTCACAGCCCATCTGCTGTGTCTTCTCTGCTAAGTTTAAGACGATCTATTTGTGTCACACTTCGAACTTTCACTTTAGGAGGTGGGAGTATGTTGTACTTCTTTGGTTTCAGTCCTGGGGACATTTAGATCAAAGAGGCAACTCACTGCTTCAGTCCCTGATGAGGCTCAGCCTAGGCTTCTTTGGCTCACACTGCTCCTCCCTCCTTCCCATTCTTTCTCATGCTCTTCAGCTCATCTGTGGTTCTGCAGCCTTTTGCTGTGCATTTCACTCTTCTTCCACATTATGCTTTATATTTTTGTGCAGAGTTCTAGGAAATGTCCTCACACTGTTTTTCCTTCTGCTGACTCTCTTTTCAGCTCTGTCTGACCCACTTTCTAATATTCAAATACTGGTCAATTCTCATGACTCATCTTATTCCTAGCTACTGTTTTACTTCAGTCCACACTTTTCATTCCATCCGGGTTCCTTTGCCTTTGGGAAGTGCATGCCATAATTTTACACTGCCTGATGTCACACAGGTCTATGGCTCCTGGGGCATAGTGCTCCTTCTCCCAAGGCTTTGTCTTCTCTCGCCCTTGAAGCTTCATCATCTGTTTATCTAGGTAGGCTGACCCATGGGAAGGAGCCCCTCACCACTCTGGGGCTCTTGGGCTCTGACTGTAATATGTTTCACATGATTGACAGCTCCCATCTGTGCCTGGAGCTGTGTTCCGTGTGGGCGACACTGTGTTTGACCCACAGCCCCAGCGAGGGATGACCGCTCTATACCTCCCTGGCCAGTGTTTCCCCGTCCTTTTCTCACAGACAGGGAAGCGCGCTGGCTGTGACTTTGATGACTAGATGCCTCTGCCTGTCACTAGGCCCCTCCGATCTTGAGGGTATCTGCTCCAGAGCAGCCTGGTCCTTCCCGGGCTCCTTTCTCGCCCAAACTGGTGCTGGTCCTCTGATTTAAGATTCTTTCTTGATTCTCAGGGCTCAGGGGATTCCTTGCTTTTTTTTCATTCAAGCTCACCTGTGCACTGAAATGGATTTCACTCTATGCCACACTGCATTTTTGTGGGTTCTGGGGGACAGGCGAGCTTCTGCTGCCACTCTGTCTGCCCACTCTCTGGTCATCTTCATCACAGCCCTTAGCCTGTCTACCCCAGGGGATGCTGCCAGTTTCCACCCAGAAACAGACCACGCCAAGGTCTAGACAGCAGCTGCCGGCTGAGAACCCTGTTCCCAGGGACCCTGGGTTCCTGCAGCCACACTGAGAAGGCAGAAGAGCCGCTGCGTCCCTGTCCTTCACACGGCCAAGCAGCCCCAGGGAGGACGGGAGGACAGGCTGCGGAGCTCAGGCTTGGGGCCCTGTGACAGCTGGGCAGGGTGGGCAGGGCAGGGTAGGGCTGGCGTGGAAGCGCTCTGGAGTTCCCACAAGCAGCCTCCTTATCCTCGGTTGTCTGGAGGTCCCTTTGTGCAGAGTCCCTTGGGGAAATCTTGAATTTCTCTTCTTTAGAAAAATCAAGAATGTAAAGCTACTAAGTACTAGAAAAACCGCTCATTATTTCTTAAACATGTATTACTACGAAGGGAGAAGGTACTTTCTATCTATACTAAAATGTAAGATTATGTATGTCACTCCAAAATTCCCCGAGCAGTTTGTGTGTTTTTAAATGATCAAAGCAAACAAACAGAAACACAAAGAAACAGATTTACAAAGAAAACACTTTATCTTAAGCTTCTGAAGATATTTTTTCAACCTGAATTTTGCTTTTGTGCTGGAATTTCTATCACCAATGTTTCCCAAACACCCAGTAGCCGTCCAGGCTCAAGGTGGCCACCTGCCAGAGGCCAAGCTCTCAGGCCCACCCAGGGCTATTTGCTGCTGAGCGTAGCAGAGTCCTGTGCAAACTCCTGCCCTAGTAACTGACTGCTGCTTGGTTTAACTGGGCTGAACCATGTAGATCTAAGACACGGCGAGTGCACAGCCATGGGTTTCTAAGTTCTCCTAACCCAGCCAGGCACCCTTACGCATCTTCCCACAACACAAAACCTACTTATGAGAGAGGAAATTGAATCAGAAATGTAGACAGACAGACAAGTGCAGTGGCTAGCACTGTAGCCTAAGGTCCACGTTGTTCCCTGTGCCATCGCCTGCCAATGAAGTTTGAAAAAGACCATGTACTCTTAAATTATCTTCCTATATTAAATCAGCAGAGTCTGTCACGAAGGAGGAAGACAAACTAACAAAAGGCTCTGCTGCTGGGTCCTGTCCAGGGCCTGGAAGCTGACAAGAGCACTCAGAGGATGACAGCTGTCTCAGTGCTAACCTGGGAGTTGTAACAGTGGGCAGTGTTCCTGGTAGCCTGTCTCTGCCTACGTAGTTCAGGATAGGCTGGTGTACAGCACACTGCTGTAGAAGCCACCCCACGGGGACTATGGGGTCCTGGTTAAGACCCAGCAGCAGTGCTGCAGGCGCCTGCACTCCAGAGCCCTGGCTGGGCCTTCTCCACCCCTGCCAGGGGGAAAGGGCTGAGAAGGGACAGCGTGTCCACGGACACCTGCACCTCCCTGGGCTCCAGACTTCACATACAAACTGTGCAAGCACTGGCACCCTGAGGCTGGGATCCACATTCGATATCAATTAAACTTTCTCTGAGAAAGTCCCCACCGCAACAAGGACCTGCAGCTGTGGAACCTGAGGTCTCCAAGATCCTGTGAACTTCACTCTGCTCCCAGCCTCATTTGCTTGACAGATATTATCGCCTGAGACAGGCTAATTATTCAATCTGTGTCCAAAGAACTAGCTCTCTCCAAAAGAGCTGATCATTAAAATGTAAATAGGTGTTTCCACTTGGCTGGCTCAGCCTGAGAGCTGCTAGCTTCCTGAGGAGGGAGAGAAGCTCCCACCCAGCTCAGCCCGCCTGCCTGACCAGCAAGCTCACTCACTCCTGGCAGGGGCGGTTGGTTAGGAGTTAACTGGCTGATGCTGCCGGAGAAATTGCCGAACAAAAAAGCTGATTTCGGATTCCATGCGCTGCAACCAGCCAGCACACACTCAGACTAATTGCTTAAACGATTTAAGAATGCATGAATATTCATAGGGTGGTGCTTCTGGGGAGGAAGGCACAGCTGAGACCCAACCCCACTGTCCTGATTCGGAGCGATTGAGGCAGCACCCCTGGGGTGCTGGGGGAGCCTGGAGCAGGGGCAGGCCCACCCTGCCCACCCCTGCAGCCCCCCACCCTGGGTTCCTCTGGTGTGGGGTCCAGTTTAGGATGGTGTGGTGAGGAGCAGGCCTGTCCCCTCGTATCTCCCACTTCCGCACTTGGTGTGGGCAGAACATCGGACACCGCTGTGACATGGAAGCTAAACCACAGGCTTCAGGGAGCACCGTGCAGAGGCCCAGCGACCCCAGTTGTTGGGGCTGCACCCGTCACTTGAGTGGGGACCCGTTTCTTACCATGCAGGGCCCCTAGGCAATTTGAGGCCAGTCTGGTGGATCTGGCCCCACTCAGACTGTCTGCCACCCGGGATGGTCACGGTCACGGTCACGGACACAGCAGCGTCCACACTCCAGGAATACGGTGGGGTCTATCCCCTCCACGGAGGCCTCACCCAGCCAGCCCCATGCTGGGGGACAGTGGCAGGGAGCACGCAGCAGCGGTGGCAGACACACAACACAGCCGGTTCAGAGGACAGAGCTGGGCCATTAGAAACACGCAGATGAAAGCATGGGCTTGTGCTCACCCTGCTCTGGAGACCCCACACACAGCTCCCTAGGAGCTTCCAACAAGAGTGCACAGCCACGCACAAAGCCAGAGCAGACAACAACGGAAAGCCACAGCGACAGGAAATAACAAACTCTCAAGTGTCCAGAGCACACTAGACAGGTGCAGGCCATCACGGACCCCAGAGGAGGACGTCCCATGTGTCCAGAGACAGCCACCAGGCCCTGGCTGGGAGACACATCTCTCTGTGTCCTTGGGAACACCAGGCGCAGAGCCCGATGCTTTAGAAGGCAAGGCCAGGGATGGATTGTGGCCGTGTCTCTGCCCTTCATTGATTCAACCACACAGGAAGAACCCCCAAAACCTCATCAAATGCAGCTACCCCTAAGCTGAGGAGACTGAGTGTTGGCAGAGTCTCCAAGTGGAGCTGTACTTATGTTTTCAGCCCGAGCCACACGCAGTCCACAGCCCAGCTCCTGGGGCATGGACCCCAGGCCCCCAACACTGGGATTGGTTGACTCTGACCCCAGGGCTCACTTGTCTCCCCAGCTTGAGGTTCACTGGCTTTCTAGCCAATCTGCCTCCTTCTGCTGAAAGCAGACTACAGAGTCCAAACCCAGTGGGCCCTGGGTTACCCACTAAGAGGAGCCAGGTATTTGCCATCCTTTCCTTATTCTTCCTCAGCACACCAAGGAAAAGGCTGCATAAATTTGCTTTGACCATTTTGGAACAGCATTAACAAGCGACCAGCTTGGGAGCTCCACATTTAAATGCATCTTAGGCAGCTGCAGCTCTGGATGAAACAACCCGACACACGTGGCTGGTCATTCACCCCGACTGAGGCCAGCGAGGCACCGCACACCCTCCATGCTCAGTCACTGCCAGTGACCAGGAATCATCTCTCCATGTCCCAGAACATGCAGTCACAGAAACTCGCTAAAGCAGTCAGAGAATACTGGCCAAAATCTGTAAATTCCAAACAACAAGAAGAGAAACCTGCAATTTGGCTCTAATGTTGATTTTTCCTTAGAGATGAACTCCTCACACCTAACACTCAATGCTGCTGTGGGTTATTCACTTTTCCCACAGACACTGCAGCCTCAACACTCTCTAGCATTCCCAGCAGGCCCTCACCATCAATTCCACCGTGAGCACAAGTGTGTCCACCCACCTGTGCAGGTGAGGGACCAGGGTACTCACCTTCTGGCTCCCCGCAGAGGGTGCACTGCGACTCTGCAACAGAAGAGAGGAGAAGTGTTAGCCCAGGAGCTTGGGGGAACAGCCAGGCCCTGCCCAGCGCATCTGACACATGCCTCACGGTCATGCCTGGTTACAGTAATGGTCTCACTGCCCTGTGCACACTTTCACAACTGCACATGGCTCACACGCAAGGCGTGCAGACCAAGTATGTCACCCCTCCATTTCAATATTTAAACCTTTACTTCAACTGCAACTCTGTTATATCTCCTTTCCAGGATAAAAACTATGAAAAAAGTGTATTTTGTTTCAGTAAAAACACTAAAATATACAAATATTGATTGAGTTCCCACAAATGGTCCATGACTGTATCTGGCTGGGTAGAACGACAGCAATGCTGAGGTCATGGTGCTTATGACTGTCAGTTACACACAGGGAGATCCCCAGGGCACACAGTGGGCAGGGCACAGGGTGGGCGTGGGGTGGTCTCCAGACCTCAGGGCAGAAGGTGGGGACGGCTCCAGGAGGCAGCTGCCCAGCCCTGTGGACTCCACTCTGGGCAGTGGGGGACCCATACAGGCATGGATGCTGCCAGGCTGCACCAGCAGCTCAGAGGCCAGCACACCTTCATCACCAGGACAGCGAAGTTGCCAGGGACCACCACGTGGGCGGGGCTGGAGGACAAGGAGGGTTTCATTGGAAAGAAACATCAGAGGCAACAGTGTGTCCAAGGGAGCAGGGCACAAGACACACAGGTTAGGGGGTTGGGGGTGACAGGGACACCTGGAGAAGGCCAGAAGGGAGTGGGATATGACAGACGTTATGTTGTGAGGACCCGAGAGGGAGCATGTGAGGTCTCAGAGTCCATGAGTGGGAACCCCTGTATATGAGGTCTCGCGATCTGAAAGTGCAGGGCCCTTCCCCTTCGAGGTCCCGGGGAGAGGTCCTGTGGGAGGGACTTAGGCACAAGCACATGTCCTGTCACCAACGGTACTGGAGCAGCTCCTGCTCCCAAGCTAGCTGAAACACACAGGACCCCTCTTCCTGCAGCTATAGGCCAGGAAGCTGGGGGCCTCCCCGGAGGACCAGAAGGTGGCAGCCAGCAGCACTGAGCTTTGTGCCCAGCTCCCTAGGCTGACACAGCTGCAGAGGATGGGCAGCCTCCATGTGCCCCTAGACACACATTAGAGAGCACGAGTCTGAGGGGAAAACCATGCGCATGGTGTGGCATTCACACATGTTCCCACAGCAGAAATAGGGAGTGGGTGTCAGGGTCCACAACTGCACTTGCAGGCAGCCCCACAAACCCACCAGACCCAGAAACAGGGAGGACGGCAGGAAGCCTTCGGAACGCATGCACTAGGCATAGCTGCTTCAGACAGGAACACTAGACCTGCAAGTCACCCAGAAACAGTGCTAGGAGGTGACCAGGGCTGTGGATCCAGACAGAACCACATGCTGCCCTGGGCTGCTGCCGTGCCCCAGTGCCTCACCCAGTGGGGCACCTGGAGCTGTGGGAAGGGAGCCCTCCACACGGCTTTATTAGGAAGTTCCTACTCCTGACCACAAAGCAATGCATGAGGCTCAGAAAGACAGTGCCACGCATACCTACATGATAGTCAAGGCCCCAAGACAGACGCTGGACCTCCAAGGACCAGGGGCCAGCTTGGCGTGGGGCCTGCATGTGCCCACCTCGGCCAGCTCCCTGCCCTTGCCAGCTAGAAATCAGCACCATGCTGCTCTCCAGGGGGCACAAACCCCTCACCGTGCTCTGCACCCTTCGTGTGCTCCCAGAATCTGCCTTGACCCCGACCCCGGCAGCCATCTCTGTCCACAGATTGAAGCTCCACCACAGGTACACAGGCCGACCTGTTGAGTTCACATCTATGTGTCCACGCTTGCTCAGAGGCCTCAGGACAGGAGCTCTGCCCAGTGTCCTAATATCCGTAGTCACAGGTCTTCAGCAAACCCCATTTCCAGCGGAATCATTAACACAACTGGGCCTCGTCCTTTAGATAATACTGCATTTCTGGCAAGAGTGTAGGGAACTGTCATCCTGTGTGCTTTGAGCTGAGGACCCAGGAATGAAAGTCATTGCTGCTGGGGACATTTGACAATGCTTTTCCCTACACAGGCCACAACAGCCACTGGATACAGCTGAGGAATTTTCAGGGGACACGGCGAGGTTCTGCAAACGCACCCTGGGGGAGGGAGAATGACAGAGAGTGAACAATCTCAGGGGCACCTGAGGATCCCTGGGCTGGGTCTCCAGGAGGGAAGGGGCGGCACCGTGGAGGGCATGAGGGACACATCTGCCCCTTCCATCCACCCGGTCACACCCCCGGGTCAGCAGTGTCATCACTAGCAGACTTGTGTTTTAAACTCTGCACCCAGGGCCTCAGTCCTGTTCGTGGGGCCTGCCAACCCCATGGGTGATGTTCCCTCTTGAAGGTGACAGCCTCCAAGTCCTGGCTCCCTCTCTGTGCCTACTGTCCACATCAGGGTCCTGGGGAGGTGGGTGGGGCAGCTGGAAGATGAGCACCCACACCCACAGAGCTGAGGCAGCCCGAGGACCCTGAGGTCCCCACCAGAGCGGACTGGGCAGCAGGAAGTACAGGCACAGGCAGGAGGCTGGGGCCGGAGAGAGGGCAGGCCCAGGTCCCAGCACTGTCTACACAAAGCACCTGCTCACCGTCATGGACATCCCCACGGAAGCTCTGCTAATGTATCACCAAAACTCTCTCCTTGATGGGGCCCCCGGGCCCGTCATCTCCTGGGCTCTGCCCTCGGAATGCTGAAGGGAAATGCATGCAATCCACGGCTCCTTGGCGTGGGAAACTCACAGGAGGGGCACGGCGTTGGCAGGCAGCCCCGAGGGCCAGGACTTGAGACCAAGACCACGGCTAACGGGAAGAGGAGCACAGAGAGGAAAAGCTGAAACCCTGGCAAAAATGGGAAATCTGCAGCAAGCATGGCTTGAATGGGATCGAAAGACGTCATCAGGAGTTGTCCTGACACTGGGGCATATCCCGTGGTACGGAGATGGACGCAGGAGGCTCAGTGCCATCCCTGGGAGCTGGGGTGTCCCCCGAGGCCGGAGTGGAGGCCTGGCCCCAGCCTGCGGCACAGCTGAGACCTAGGGCAGCCTCTGCGGGAAGTGAGGTCCCTGTGGCTGTGGCCTGGGGGATCTCAGTACCCCACCCCTTGCTGTCTCTCCCTGCTCCCTGGCTAAGGTGCGGCGAACACTGTTCCCACCATGATGTGCAGCCTCCCACAGGCCAAGAGCAATAGAGCCAAGTGACTGTGGACCCAGATTCTGCAACTTGGAAACCCGGAGCCAGAATAAGCCTTTCCGCATTCTAAGCTGACATGAAGCTGAGGAGCTCACCAGTCAGCACATACTGGGGCAGTGGGAGGAACAGGAAGGCGGTGGCTGTCAGCCCACTCAAGTCACTCAGGGTCTGCACTGTGCCTCCTCCATGGTGCCTGGCTCTCTCAGGGAGCAGCCTGGAGGCACTGGCCTCCCAGACAGTGGGCAGAGGGGATGAGGGCCGAGAGCAGAGCTGTGAGGACGAAGGCAGGTCCCGGGGGAGCGCAGGTAACCAGGGCGATGCTGAGGAGCGCCTGCCCGGTATCCAGCCCTGTTCCTGGTGAGCTCTTTGCAAGTCTTAACTGCTCTGTGACTCGGAGACTCTAGAGTCAGTGGTGGCTGATGGTGCTCTATTTCGGCCATGACTCATGATAAAAATGAGGACTTCACACACACTATGCAGCCTACTGCCCTACAGAGCTGCAACAGCAGGCAGTGGCTGGTGCCTAGCTTGGTGCAGGATGTGAAAGCCCACAGCCAGGTTTTGCTCTGACCTCATCCAGGAGGCTGAGCCGAAGCCTGTGACAAAATGCCATGCACTCGGCCAGGCCAAGGTGGCCCGCATGGCTCTGGAGCTTAGTAAATGCCTGTTTCTGCCCTGCCAGCCCTGCGTCCCTGAGACAAGGGACACTGGTCCTTCCGTGGCCCTCCATGCTGAGGTCCCAGCATTATCCCTGTCCACAGGACCCCGGTACGATGCACACTGCACTCCCCAGGGCCCAGCAAACAGGTGAATCTGTAATCACAACCCTCCCAGGATGTGGACAGAGATGACCTGGGTGCACAGGGGATTCCCCTCTCCTTTACATTAGGAGGCAACCGTGCTAATTTATGCTAACTGATACAGGTAGAGAAACCTCCTGGTGACTTTGCAGATGTGCCATCTATATCTGCTCTGCAGGAATCAGCTCAATCCCGAGTTCAAAACCAGGGGTGCAAGCATTTCACTGCTCTCTTCAAGCAAACGTGTCAGCTCATCGCAGTCTCCACAAGGGGGCGCATCTGGTGTCCACGGCAGGAACTCCCCTCTCGTGTGGGCACACTCTCACAGTGGCAACCTCTGCTTTGCATGGAGCAATGTCCACAGCGTCCGTGCCGCCCAAGTGGCAGCTCTGCCCAGTGCCGTTGCACAGCAGCAGGGTGGGGGGCAGGGGTGGCTGCCAGGTGTGGGTGACCAGGACGAGGCCCCCTGCCCAGGACCCTGGTGAGGTCCACTCAAGGCCCCTGAGAGAAGCCCGTCTCCTGAGGCTTCTCCAGATCCAGACCAAGTGGGAGGCCCACTATGTGGCTCTGCAGGGCTGCTGGGCCTGCACTGAGCTGCTGTGATGGTTTCTGCCTCCTACGCCCTGCCTCCCTGCAGCTGGGGCAGTGACAGAGGAGCAAAGCTCAGCAAAGCTCCCTCTACCAAGTCCCAAGGACCCGTAGAGGGTAGAGGCTCAGCTGTGCTCCCATCCAGGGTTCCACGCCAACGGGCAGCATACAACATCAGGCCACCTGTGCACAGGAGCTCAAGGAGCCGGGTCCCTGTGAACCCAAGGCTGTGACTCTCTCTGCCCTAGAAGCAGAGCTGGCCAGGATCTCACGGACGCCAAACCCCTCCAGGCACTCAGTGCGACACTGCAGCTGGGCCCAGCACACCGTGACCACGTGACACTGGATGGCCAGG